GATGCATACTCTGTCTCTTTAGACTGTGTTTTTTCTTGACTTTTAGCATGCCTTGTACTTTTTTGTTGAAGGCTGGGCCTGATGTATGGGTAATAGAGAACTGAGGGAATTATTGGTTAGTGTGAGGTTTTATGTTAATCTGGCTAGGAGCTGGGCTGTGTTGAATTTACTATAGCTCTAGGTGTCAGAGACTTTCTTTTAGCTTCCTTGTTTGTTTCCCCTCTCCCCTCCCCAGTTTTCCTTGGGTTTTCCTAGGAATTCCCTATTAAATAGAGCTTGTGTCTGCAGCTTTCTCAGTTATAAGCAGCTGTCATTATATGATGTATGCTGGTTAGGTTTAGGGAGGGGAAGTGTTTTACAATTTTATAATTAATCTCAGTTTTGTGGAGTCTCTGGGCTGTAACCTTCAGAAGTATTTCTCAGCCTGTTTTTTCTCTCCTTACCTGAGGCAGGAAGGCTAGAAGGTACTGGAAGCTGACTGACCACCTTTCCTCCTTTCTAGTAAGGGTCTGACAAAGTAGTTTTCCTGGAAGGCAGACTTTTGCTATTAAGAACACTCTGGGTGTATTTTTAAATGGTTTCTTTTTCCCTCACCCTTCCTGAATCAGAAGAGGCTCTTGACCATGAGAACCTGGTGGAGTTCCTGGAGTTAAAACCCAGGAAACTGTGGGTTCCCTCTAATTCTGGGTCCCAGGAGTTTTTGACTCTTAAGTTGGTCTACACACAACTTGCATTAGTTTGTCAAAGCTACCATTTAAATGTTCCTACCAGTTACTACCTCCAATATCTTCTGCTTCCAAGAAGGCATCTCAGCTATGATTTTCTGTCTCTCTAAATTTTGGGTGTGGTTGTTTTTCCTGTGACCCCCAATTCTCTGATGAATCTAAGAAAAGTTGTTGATTTTCAGATTGTTCAGTTTTTTTCTTGTTGTGAGGATGGGAGTGATGACTTCCAAGCTCTTTACATGTTAGAATTGAAATCAGAAGTTCAGTTTCACATTATTTTAACCACTTCACATTAATTTGATCATTTGTCTTTTTATTGTTGAGTTGTAAGAGTTCTTTATATATTCTAGACAGTAATCACTTATCAGATAATTTCTGCCATTCTGTGGGTTGTCTTTTCACTTTTTTGATAGTGTCATTTGAAGCACAGAAGTTTTTAATTTTAATGAAGTCCAACTTATCTACTTTTTTCTTTGTTGTTTGTACTTTTGATATTACAGTGAAAAAATCATTTTCTAATCCAAGATCAGAAAGATTTATGCCTTTGTTTTCTTTTGAGTTTTATAGTTTCAGCTTATATACTTAGGTCTTTTCCCCATTTGGAGTGAATTTTGTATATTGTATGAGGTAGGGGTCCAATTGCATTCTTTCTCATGTGGCGATCCAGTTTTTCCAGCACCACTTATTGAGAAGACTGTCCTTTCCTCACTGAACTATCTTGGTTCTTTCATTGGCCATGGAAGTAGGGATGTATTTCTGGGCATGAATTCTATTCCATCGTTTTATGTGTCTCTTCTTATACCAGTACCACAGTCTTGATTATTGTAACTTTGCAGTGAATTTTGATGTGGGGAAATGTCCTCCAGCACTGTTCTTCTTAAAGAAGAAGAAGTTTTGGTCATGCAGATGTCTTGCATTTCCATTCAGCACCCCAAATTCAGTTTGTCAATTTCTATATAGAAGTCAGCTGGGATTTTGATAGGGATTGTGTGAAATCTGTAGTTTCCCATTGTTTCTGGAATCCCACTTCTTTCTTCCAGATTTGATTTCCTTCTTGAATTATATCCTTTAGTAGTTCTTTCAGACTATTCTAATATCCTAAAATGAATCTGAAGTTCGTGAGTGAAATTTATTTTTCTTTAACTCTTCGAATATATTATTTTATTGTCTTTTACTTCCAATGGGATGTCTGTTGTCAGTCTAGTTGTGGGTCTTGTTTTGGTTCTGGTAAATCTGTTTTTCCCTTGAAAACATTTAAGATTGTCTCTGTCTTTGGTGAACTTATTATAATGCTGCTAGGCGCACATTTATGTTTATTTATCCTGCCCAGAACTCAGTAAACCCCTTTAATTTGAGGAGTTGTATCGTCTTCATTCTGAAAAATATTGTATTTTCTCTTTTAATAGCATTCCTTTCATATTCTTTGTATTATTTTTCAAATCTTTCTTCAAATTCACTATTTTTTGTCAGCCAACTACCATTTAATGTATCCCTTGAGTTTTAAAATTTTCTCTCATCATATTTTTCATGTCTAACATTTCTATTAAGTTCCTTTTCAGTGTTTTCTGGTGTTTTTTTCTAATTCCTTGTTCTTTGCCTAATCCTCTTGTTATCTTTTTGAGTGTATTTAACATATTTGTCCTAAAATCTCTTCCTCAGTTCTATTATCCGAGTGCTTGAGATCTACTTTGCTGGCTAATAGGTTTGCTGACTCTCCCCTCTGGTGGCTCACTTCCTTCTGTGGGCCTGAGTTTTCAGAGGGCTCATCTTCCATGGTATCTTATATGTCCTTGACTGCTGAGGAGTCCCTACAAGATGGTTTTGTGTATACCTTTTACTAGTGGGTTTCACAAGATTAATTCCAGATCCATTCTGGGATTTCCAGTCTGTGGGTTTAGCGTGAATTTGGAACTTTCATGGTAAGATAGGAGTGTGGAATTGAGACTCATTAAGGATGACTTTCTTCAAGGCCCCAGAAGCAGGGAGACCACTGACTACTTCTGAAGCTTCCTTTGTAGGATCTCAATATCCTGAGCATTTCCCACAATTACCTGCATATCTTCTTCCTCTTTCTCACCTTCCAGTCCCTCATGGTGTATCCTCAATGCTGTCTCATGTGGTCAAAGCCAATAGCCACACCAGTTCTGATCAATACTGACCTCTTGGCAAGATGGGGCATCGCAGCCCTCTCTCTCCTTGATGTCCTGTCCTCTTGAGGATGGGTTTCCTCCTACCTGCTGACTGCATTCCCTAAGGCACTGGGGCTCTGCTGTCATCCCCCACCCAGCAGTGCCACCCCGTTCTCTGAACTGTAGCTCTTCTGAGCTCCTGGCTTGTCTGTCTAGCTGGCACATCCCCTGGAGAGCCCAATACATGTCTCAGACCAAATAGGTCCCCAGCTCAGCTCTTAATCTGCTCCTTGCCCCAATTCCTGTCCCTCCACGGGGCCCTCTGTAAATGACCCTGGCCCAGTCCCCATCCACCTCTGCTGCCTCCTGTCCCCTCACCCCTGTCAGAGCTATTGCCAAGCTTATTGGTCTCCTGAACCTCTGTCCTTCTCTCTGCACCTCTGGTCCAAGCACTGAGCCTCCCCGTAACACCCGCGTACTGTTCTGCTGAGACTGCCTGGTGGCTCCTGGCGTGCAGTGTGAGCTGGCTGGGTGAAAGGACAGGCCCCTCCCTGTCCCCCAGCTGCCCGGCTCCTTGTCATGCCTCACACTTGCCACCTCCTCTTCTGCAGAGGTCTTTGCCATATACTCCCTCTCCCTTATCCCTCGGCCCCACTGCCAGCTTGAAGCTCTTCTGTTGTTGTTCCCTGCCATCTTTCCTCCAGTGCTGCTCATAGCTGTGCTCATCCCATGGAAACCTGTCTCCAGTGTTACAGGCAGGGTATGTTCCAGCAGGGCCCCATGGGTCCCTGGTGCCAGGGAAGCAGTGTCCAGCACACAGCAGGGTCGAGGCTGGTCACTGTGGGGCCCTCAAGGAGCTAGGAGCCATTTGGGGCCATGGGCTGGAGTTGAAAGACCCGGGTCCATCTGTGTGACCCTGGGCAGACCATGCCCTCTCCAGGCTGCCACTTTCCCTGGATGATTGCTTAGACATCAGATGTGTCAGTGCTCTGTGAAGGCCACTTGTCCCCTATGTCTGTGGACCTCTCTCATCTGTCCCTGCTCTTCACTGGCAGCAGTGTCCTGAAGGGAACCAGCTAGGACTGGACATGTTTATTCCAGATGCTTGAGGCTGGCACAGTGCAAGGGTGGCCCTTGCCAGCTGGGGTCACCAAACCCTGCCTACTGCTACTTCCTCTGAGTGAGGAATGTGGGACCAGCAGGCTGGGCAGCGCAGGAGGTGAAAAGGGACCTGTTTTCACCCCTGTTCCTTCCACTTGGCTTTTTCCATGGCCTTCCTGACTGCAGAACCTCTGGCTCCCTTTCTGAGGGTCTGTGGTCTTGGTGGCTCTTCCTCATCAGCTGTGACTCTGGTATCCCCACCAGGGGGACTCACTGAGCCCAGGAGGGATGAGTGAGGAGCCACTCTGGGTCTGGCGGTTGGTATGACTGAACCGGGCACCCCTCAGGGCTCTGGTGAGGGGTCTTGACCCAGGGCCTGGAGGGCAACAATCCTCTCTGAGCCTTCATTTCTTCTATAAAATGGAGATGCTAATCCCTAAGGATGTTGGATCAGGATCCCACATCCCCTGTGGTTGTGTTGGGAGGTGGGAACCTGCTCATCCCAGAGCCGCTTCCTCCCATGTGCTTGAGTCCTGGGCGCATTTTGTCCTGCCCAACAGTGACTCCCCCTGGATAGTGCTCCCTCTGCTTGGCTCAGCCTGGCAGGGACTGTCCTCACCTGCCGCACCCTCATGTCCCAAATCTGTCCCGAGTGCAGCCAGAGGAATCACTCTCATCCTCATCTGTTGGATGAGGAACCACTCTCATCCTCATCTCCCAACAGGGGCAGGGAGTGGGAGTGGCCTCACTCAACCCTGTGCCTCCTGCGTGTGCCTCTGCCTATTTGTGTCTCGGTGGGAGGAATGGACCCTCATCACAGATATTTCCATTTGTGACTCAGGTGGGACTGGGCATCCCTGCCCCCAGGCAGTGGGGGCTCGGAGGTCAGCACCACATCTCCTTTCTGGTTGGCCCATGGCCCACCGGTGTGGCGCCATGAGCTGGCCTCCTCCTGTGGCCATGGGAGCAGGTGGCCTGTTGTGGGGCAGAAGACTGGGATGTAGCCCTCAGGCTCCAACATTGCTCTGACTGTACCTCCCCACAGTGCTGAGGACGTGGTGGTCCGCGTGCCAGGCAGTCAGCTCACACTGGGCTACATGGAGGAGCACGGCTTCACCGAGCCCATTCTGGTCCCCAAGAAAGATGGGCTGGGCCTGGCTGTCCCAGCCCCCACATTCTACGTCAGCGATGTTGAAAACTATGTGGGTAAGTGTCATCCCCTTCTGGTTGCCATAGGGGCAGGAGGTGGACAGCGCTGGGGGCGCCCACCACCTATGCACACCATCACCTGCACTCTAGCTGCATCCCAGGCGGCATGCAAACAGGGGAGGCTGGAGGCTGATCCTGGTGCTTGCAGATCTGACCCTGAGTCCCACTGAGATGTGTGCCCTCGTAGCGCCTTCCACTCTCAGTCACTCTGGCTGCAAAGTGGGGGCTGCTCTGAGACCCCTTGATTCTGGCAGCTGTAAATCCTATTACCATGGATGACACACGACATTGCCATGTCCTGATCCTTGTGGGGCTGCTTCCCACCCTGGCAGCCTAGCCTGGGTCTGGCCTTCCTCACCTGAATGACAACCAGTCCCCCTATGGTGCCAGGGCCCAGTAAGGCCCAATGCTGCTGGCAGTTCCCATCTTGTGCCCCCTTGCCACGCCTGGTGCTCAGTTGGGCACTTGTGGGTAGAGGAGGTGCCTTGAGGGATGCTGTCCAAGGAACAGCAGCACCAAGAAGCCAGCACACCTGGCGGTGACCCTGACATGGCCAGTGGCCACATGGCCAAGCACTGAGACCTTCTTGGTTGCTGGGCCTTAGGGTGTGTATGCGGCAGCCTGAGAGGCCAGCCAGGAGGAGGAGAAACCCTGAAAAGGCAAATGCCCAGGCCGGGAGGGCCTGCAAGCTGGGCCTGAGCCTGACCCTCTCCCTCTGCACTGTAGGGGGTGGGTGCCGGGGGTGGAATGAGATCCTACACATGCTTCTGGACACACTGCAGCTTCCGCAAGAGGCCATCATGTTCCATTTCAGCAAATGCTGGCATCTCGGCCCTTCTCTGGAGCTACATGTGCCCCTAGGGCCACCTGAGGAGGGTCCTAGGTTAGGTGTCAAGGAGGGTGGGCGGGCATCACAGAAGCAGTCAAATCTCAGGAAGAAGCCAGGCTCAGTGGCTCAGCCTGTAATCCCGTGCCTTTGGGAGGCTGAGGTGAGTGGATTGCCTGAACCCGCGGGTTTGAGACCCGCCTGGGCAGGCGAGACCTCATCTCTACAATAAATCAAACAATTAGCCGGGTGTGGTAGCGCGCACCTGTAGTTCCAGCTACTTGGAAGGCTGAGGTGGAAGGATCGCCGGAGCTCAGCGAGTCGAGGCTGCGGTGGCCGGGAGCGACCACTGCACTCCAGCCTGGGCAACAGAGTGAGACTCCAACTCAAAAAAAAAAAATCTCAGGAAGAAAATCAGAGAGGGCTCATGCAAGGCTTGGTATGGGGTATTGGGGCCCACAGAACGAGGCTAGTTATTTGAGTTCTCACTGGGGTGGGTAGGCTGAGGTCCCAATGTAGGGACTGCCCTGTCCAGGCCAGAATCCAGCACCTGGTCTGCCTGTGCTGCTACACACCTGGCCAACCTGCTCTGAGATGGGTCCTCAGATGGTCTGTGTCTGCTCTGCAGTCAGGCATATTGTGAGCCACTGCTCCTGAGCCCAGTGCTCCTCACTCTCCCAGGTGGTCACAGACCCCCATTGAGGGCATCTCAGCCAGGTGCAGTTCCCGTAATGACCACGGGCATTGGATGAGGGCCTTACCAGGACCAGATGTTATTCAAGCTCTCTCCATGTAGGGACGCGTTTCATCCTGCCACGGTACTGTGAAGTGTCCCACCTTCCCTGCTACCAAGATCCTGAGCTGGCCTGGCCATGAGGGCAGGGCCTGGTTTGTCCCCTGCCCCTGTCCTCCTCACAGCTATGCCCACAGGAGCAGGAGGAGACAGCTCATAGAGACTTTTATGTCCTACATTTTTCTCTTAGATTTTTTTTCTTTAATTTTTTGGGTAGAGACTAGGTCTTGCTATGTTGCCTAGGCTGGTCTTGAACTCCTGGGCTCAAGCAGTCTTCCTACCTTGTCCACAGACCATCTGAGGACCCATCTCAAAGCAGGCTGGCCAGGTGTGTAGCAGCACACACAGACCAGGTGCTGGATTCCGGCCTGGACAGGACAGCCCCTGCATTGTGGCCTGGTATTACAGGCGTGACCCACTGTGCCCAGCCAATTTTTTTGTTTGTTTTGTTTTTGTTTTGTTTTTTAGATGATGGAGATTTTCAAACACAAAATGGGAAAAATAAACAGGAGGCCACCCAGTGCTGGGCGCAAAGCTGCCAGCTTTTGTTTGATTTTACCCCACCTTTCTTTTTTCCTGAAGGATTTTAAAGAAAATTCTTTTTATATATATCATTTCACTCATAAAAATTCTACCATGCAGCTGTAACAGACAGTTTTAAAAATATAACCCCAAATTCCACAATTGCACCCTACAATATTAGCAATGATTCCTTGACAGTAGGTAGGACCTGGTTGAATTCTTCCCAGTTGCCTCAAAAATGCCTCTTTACATGTGACTGTGAAATCCCCATGGTGCTTTTGGGTTTTGTTTCCCTAAAGTTTCTTCTTTCAATACCTCCCCTTACATCCCATCAACTTGTTAGAGAGGCCTGCCAGTCCTACAGTTTCCCACAGCTGGCATTTGGGTGTCAGTGTCCCAGTGGTGTCTTTTGGCAGATCCCCCCAACCTTGGTGTTTCCTAAAAACTCATTTGAGGTCCACCTGACTTGCACTCAGGTTTTGGGTGCAGGACTCCCTGGGATGGCTGTGTCTCTGCCCTCAAGGCCTGCTGTGCCTGGCCACACTCTTATGGTGACAGGCACAGTCAGTGGCCTGGGCCTCTAGCCTCATCTGTCCACAGAACCCCTCATGGTCTTGCATTTTGGGGTCCAGCAGCCATGGGCAACTGTTGCGAAGGACAAGTTGGAAAATCATGTCCTTTCTTCTCCTTCTCTCACTTACAAGTCTTCTCTAAAGAATGTGCTGTCCTCAGTTAATCTTGTCCTGAACTTTTCCTCAACTACAGAGAAGGCCTGTGTTGTATTTTAAGATAATGAGAAATGCAAGGTTTTTTGATTAAGATGTAGGTATGGCCCACAAGTACTTGGAACACACACTGAAGTGAGTTTGTTGTCTGTCTGAAGTTCACACTGGCCGGGCATCTTGTGTCTATTGCTCACCTGGCCCCCTTGCTGAAGCCTATGGTGTGGCCTTGCAGCATCACTGGGTCAAGACAGGCAAACAGCTGGTGAGTGGGGTTGGATGCGGGCACCCAGGGTCTCCATGTCCAGCCCCTGGTGGCCACTACCATGCGTGAGGGCTGCTGAGGCCATGCGAGTGTCCGTCATCATCCCCGAGCATCCTGGCCTCAAGGGAGACCACACCACCCTCCTGGGTGCTCACCCGCCTCCTGCCACCTCCCTAGGGCCAGAGCGGAGTGTGGATGTGACGGATGTCACCAAGCAGAAGGACTGCAAGATGAAGCTCAAGGAGTTTGTGGACTATTACTATAGCACCAATCGCAAGCGGGTCCTCAATGTCACCAGCCTCGAGTTCTCTGACACCAGGTGAGTGCAGTCACCCATGTGGGACTGGGTTGGAGGCTGCATCCTTGGTGGGTGCCACAAAGGTGAGGTTGGAGGTCTTGGAGAGTAAGTTGCTACGCATGACACATGCTGGTGTTTCCTGGTTTTCTCTCTTTAAAAAATTTTCTAATTTGTAAAAGCTTTCCCACAGCTGTTTCTCTTCTAAAGTATGGAAGTGATAGGTTGTGAATGGCAGAAAAATAAGGGGCCAAAAGGCAAATCCTCTCTGGCCAGTGTCCCTCCCACCCCTCAGGGAGAATCATGGTAACAGTAGAGAGTTGTTTCTTCCAGAATGCACACTCATGACACACTTGTGACACACTCAGGACACACACACACTCAGGACACACAGTGGACACATGGACACTCAGACATACTCAGACTCTCATGGACACTTGTGACACACTCAAAGCACTCTCACACAAACACATAAGCACACTCATGAGCTCACTCACATGGACACAGGCACACTCATGACACACGAGCACATTCACAGACACACTCGTGGACACTTATGACACTTACGGACACACCCACCAACACTCATGACACACTCGCAACGCACTGACATGCTCACACCCATTCATGGACACACAACACACTTTTATTCATGGCCACAACTAGACACATACTCATGGGCACTCATGACACAAACCTACTCACAGACATGCCAACACATGATATACTTACTCATGGACACACCAACACACTCGTGGCATACTTACTCATGGATAAGCACAACACACTTGTAGACACTCATGACACAGTCACCAACACACTGACATACTCACAACATACTTGTGACACCCATGACACATGCACTGACACTCATGACACATTCATGACACATCAACACTCAGGCACCTCACCAATACTGACACTCACTGACACATCAACACCAAAACACTCGCTGACATACCCACTGAAATACCACCACTCACTAATACACTCACCAATACTCACTGACACCGACACACTTCCAACACAGCCATGAATATACTTATGATGGGCTCATGATGCACATGTCCTCCACACACGGAGACGCCGAGTCCCCGACACGTTCACTGATGTTTACATTGCACATCCCTGGCACACTTTCCAGCACCCTCACATGCATGTGAACATTGACACTGCCACGCTGTCATGGGATCTCACTAGGCAGCTACTCTGTGACAACCCCCTGCCTTCTCTGGCAGCAAGACCCCTGCACACATGTGCCACGCTTGATCTGATTCCACCGAGTTCCAGGCATTTGTTGTTTCAGTCACCATGGGTGGGAGCTTCCCCCTTCAGGGTTGGTCATGTGCCAGCTTTGCTTCCTAGTGGTAGTATAGTTGGCCCACCTCTGTGACTGTGATCCTGTGCTCCCCCAGTGGCCATGGTCCATGCCCACCCCTCATTCTACCCCTTACTTCCTCCCATCAGCTCCCATGGGAAAGATCTGGAATGCTTACTTACTGTGAGGCATGAGTGGCTCAGAATGCTTTCATTTTTGCATCATTTCTACTTTGGGTACTTTCAAAAGCACATGTGATAACACCTGTGCCTAAGGGCAGGTAGGAAAGGCAAAAGAATTATTGAATCCACAAGAAAGAGAAAAGTTGTGTACAACTATGCCAGGAGCCATAAAAAGATATTGTAACTGAGTATTGATTCTTGTTTGAGCTTCCTAATAGCAAAGACAAAAAGGGAAATGGGCTGGATTATGGTGACATAGAAAGTGGTATATGTTGCTTTGGTACCAAAAAGGACATACTGAGTCATGTCTCCATCAACTGAATTTGCTACCCTGCAGAGGGCGTCATTCCAGAGACACCTTGTGATGGAACTGTGGGGAGATGGTGCTTAGACCTGGGGTCCCCCCTTCGGCCTCCTAGGGTTACCTGTTTGCCTCCTGTGTCTCCCCTGGCCCAGTCCAAGGTCAGTTAGGGGGTCATTTGCTGCTTTTGCTGGCACTTACATACCAGGGTAGTCATATGGGCGTGGGTCAGGGCTCTGAGAGTCTGTGTACACCATCTAAGAGGCAGCGAGTGTGGTCTCCACTTCATTGGTAAGTACATTCCCAAATATATTGACCAGGCTGCGAAAGTCAGACCCAACCCTGTGGGCTGTCTGGGTGCCCCACAGTGACCAATGCACCCCCAGACCACAAAGGTACCTGTGTGGTGGATGGTGGGTGATGCACCTGCTGCCTGTCATTCTTACACACAAGTCACATCTGAACTCTTGCCCATAGTGGCCTTGGGTATTCACGGGGGCTTTGGGACTCCTCAACTCATAGAAAGGGCTGACTTTGCACCTGAGGAGCCTGCCAGGCCTGGGAAAGGGGGACATCTGGGGCTATGTCAGGAGGCAGGAGCAGCCCATCCTCCCATGGTGTATGGTGTGTGAGGACAGGGCCAAGCTGGATTGAGAGGCTCCTGAGAGAGAGGGGGACCCTCCCCTGGGGGCAGTGATGCACCCAGGCTACAGGAGGGATGTGACTAGAGACAATGAAAACTCCTGGGGGGAAAAGGGTCCTGGTTTGGAGCATGCCAGAGAGTCACAGGTGAGAGTCTCTGGTTGAGGCTGATGAGGTCAGAGACGGGTCCCACCTGTGACTTGTGACAGGCTCACCTGATGGGCACGGCTTCTGAATAGGGGCAGTAGCAATTCCAGGCAGTGACAGAGATATGACAGCGCCCATCTAGCTGGAGGCAGCAGGAACTCCTGGATCCGCTTCTCATTAGCAGCTGAAATGTTCCAGCACAGGTGTGACTGAGCTTGACCCTTCTGATGCGATGTTGAACATTTCATCCAGGGCAGTGACATTTTGCTGAACCCAAGGCTGCCTTTGCCTTTCCCTGTTTTCCCTGATGATGTGTGTTGACTGGCTTTGATGGCTACCCAATGTGACAGGGAGTTGGCAGCCTGTTGTCCCCTCTGGAGGCAGTGGCTGTTACTCAGGGAGCTCCAGGAGGTGCTTGGGTTGCACTTGAGGAGTGACACATGCAGGACCTCATTATGCCATAGCTGCACAAGTGTGGCCAACCAGAGACTCACCTTCCAGTGTCCCAGGAGAGGGAGCTTCCATGGGTGGTTGGGCTTTGGGCCTCCTCCTTGCTGTTTTCTGGGGGGAAGCCAACACTGGGCCTGGTCTCCTGCATGGCCAGGTCCAGCAGCCAGGCTGGTTCTGGCCTCTAGGACTCCCAGCTTGCTCATCTGTGAAATGGGAGCAATGCCCACAGCCCACAGGTGGTGAGACAGTGTGGGATATGCCTTGCAGAGCGCCTTTCCCATCCCGGGGGGTGGGGAGGGCATGGAGATTGTGGTCTCAGTACCTTCCTCGTCAACCACACTCCCTCCTGCTCCAGAATGTCTAGCTTCGTGGAGCCGCCAGACATCGTGAAAAAGCTGTCCTGGGTAGAAAACTACTGGCCTGACAACGCTCTTCTGGCCAAGCCCAAAGTGACCAAATACTGCCTGATCTGCGTGAAGGACAGCTACACTGATTTCCACATCGACTCTGGGGGCGCCTCTGCCTGGTACCACGTACTCAAGGTGAGCCCCACTCCCTGCCATCCCACCCTTGGTGCAGCCATGGTCCGTCCACAACATTGTCCCCATGAGCCCTGACTATGGCCAGGAAGCCACCTCCAGGAGGACACTAGGATGCCCAACTCTGGGACAGGAGGCTGTGGAGGCGTTTCTGGGTAGAGGGGCTGGGGTGCATGTGGGACCAGAGAACCACACGAGTGTCTTCTTTTTCTAATGGGATCGAGGCTGGCTGCAATTAGGTGAGGCCACTGAGTGAGGTGGGTGTTGGGAGGACATCTTGGAAGAGGGTCAGCCAGAGCCATGGCCCTGCACAGAGCCACAGGCAGGCAGTAGGTGTGTCTGACTGGCAGGAAGGACTGGAAGGCTCATCACGGGGAGCAAAGATGGGAAGCCAGAAGAAATGAGATGTGAATTACAATAAAAAGAAGTAAAGCGACCCTGAACTTTGGGTTCCACCAGCTACAAACCGGGTTTCTCCTACCAGCTGGGGCTGGGATGGGCACAGGTGCTGGTCCGATGTTGGAAGCCCTGAGCAAGTTTCTGGGGTATCCTCAGGACTGTCTTTGTTCTGGTGCATGAAGACAAGCATCTCGTTGCACTGGGTGCAGTCCCACCGGGGGCTTGACCTGGGGCCTCCTGGGAAATGGTGGCAGTCCATTAATCTGACCTGGGGTCCAAGTGGCCCTCAAGAGCTAGCTGTCTACAGCCTCCTTTACCCCCAGACCCTCATCTATAGGCTGCAGAGTGTGTGTATGGGTCTGGGCTGCGCTGGGGGCTTGTGTACCAGAGCATTCCTGACATGAAAAGCATGTGTGCTACCATGGGGCAGGTGGGAACATGGGCCTGGGCAGGTGCTGCTCAAGTCAGGACTTGTCACTTTCCCTCAGCAGCCCAGGGCATGGTGGCTTCTTCTTCCCCTCAACAGCCCAGCCTTGTGGGCTTTCCCCCTAGCAACCCAGGGCATGGTGGGCCCCCCAATGTCCCTGGCATTTGTGAGCTCCCCCACAGCAGCCCAGGGCATGGTGGGCTTTGTCCCCTCATAGTGTCTCAGGACTTATGGGCTCTCCCCAGCAACCCAGAGCATGGTGGGCCCCCCAGTGACCCTGGCATTTGTAGGCTCCCCCCCCCACAGCAGCCCACAGCATGGTGGGCTATGTCCTCCCACAGCATCTTAGGACTTGTGGGTTCCCCCCAGCAGCCCCAGGGCATGGTGGCTCCCACCCCTAGCATCCTGGTATGGGCGGCTCTGCCAACAGGCTCTTTTGGCAGGGGGAGAAGACCTTCTATCTCATCCGGCCGGCCTCGGCCAACATCTCCCTGTATGAGCGCTGGCGGTCGGCCTCGAACCACAGCGAGATGTTCTTTGCTGACCAGGTGGACAAATGCTACAAATGTATCATCAAGCAGGGCCAGACCCTCTTCATCCCCTCAGGTGAGCATGGGAGGCTCTGGGGACATGGGTCCTTTACTTGCTGACCTTCATCAAGGCTGCACTCTGTGCCCCCTGCCACATCCCACCATGGGGGTCTCCCGGCATCCTGGTATGCCTGGCGTGCCCACTCCCTTGCCCTGGGCTTGCTGCCAACCTCAGCCCAGTCACCACTGAGGGGCCAGCTGTGGAAGTGTGTTCTGTGGTCCACATGGGCATGCTTTGCCACTGGAGCCAGCCCCCTCCATGACTTGGTGAAGCTCACCAAGGCCTCCCATGGCATGAGAGATCCAGCCTAGAGGGCCCTATGGAGGAGGCCACGGCTCCACAGACAGGGAGACTGGCTGGGAGGAGGGTGCTGAAGGAGCCATGGTGCTACAGACAGGAAGGCCCGCAGGGGAGAGGCCATAGTGCCACAGACAACAAGGCCAGCCAAGGAGGAGAGTGCTCACTGCCAACTTAAAACATTTTATTATGGGACATTTTGAATCTATGCTGAAGGAGACCATGTGGCATGGGCAGCTGTGGGCGTAGATGATATTTGGGTAAATCTCAGATATCTGTTTCACTCATGAATGTGCTGCTCTTTCCGAGAGCTGGCCTTTCCCTTTAAAGTACCATTATTGCAATGTTGTTGTCATCTCTTACAAATGAACAATGAGCAGAGGTACCTTAGGGTCATCAAACAACCAACTGATGTTCAGAGTTCCTTATTATTTTATAGGTTCCACCCCCACCTTATTTTTCTGAGTTGGGGTTTCACTCTGCCACCCAGACTAGAATGTAGTAGCACAATCATGTCAATCATGGCTCATGGCAGCCTCAACCTCCTGGACTCAGGTGATACTGCTGCCTCAGCCTCCTGAGTAGCTGGGACTACAGGTCCATGCTACCATACCCAGCTAATTTTTTTGAAAAAATTTCTTTTTGTAAAGACAAAGTTTCCTTATTTTGCCCCAGGCTGGTCTCAAACTCATGGGTTCAAGTGATCCTCCTGCCTTAGCCTCCCAAAGTGCTGGGATTGCAGGCATGAGCCACCACACTCAGCCTTTTCCTCCATTTTCAATCAGCATCCAAATGAGGTCCTCACATTTCAATTGATCAAAAGCCTCTGAATCTTTGCTAACCCTTGGATTCCCCCAGCTTCCTCACAGTCACAGTTACTTCTGGAAGAACTATGGATTTCATGAAGTCTGGCCCAGGCTCTGTCTGGGATAATCTGGGACCCAATCCTAGCCCTAGGGGATGGCCTCACCTTGCCTCCTCCAGCCCCTGCACGTGGTGGTCGGGGATGCCAGGCAGCCAGACCCATGATGGACTCCCTCCCTTGGTCTGAGTACTGACCTCATGTGGCCTGAGTAACCACTCAGCTCTTGGCCTCAGTTTCCCCATCTGTATAGTGCAGGGCTGGATTGAGCAGTCTGTGCCGCCTCTGACAGGGTTTCTCCCTGACCTCCTTCTAAGGAGGGAAGAGTGGTGCCAACGAGCTACTTCCAGGGAGGCCCTGGGCTTGGGGAAGCTCCAGAGGCAGGCAGGTGCTGAGGCATGAACAGGCAGTAGCCGGAGCCTGGGCCAGGAGGCAGTGCTGTTCCATGCCGTACCCGGGTCTAGAGCCAGTGTGGCCTGCCCCAGGCTCATGAGAGCCGGCGTGCAGGAGTGAGGTGGAGGCCCAGCAATATCCCATATCTCTCCCAGGCTGGATCTATGCCACGCTCACCCCGGTGGACTGCCTGGCCTTCGCGGGACATTTTCTCCACAGCCTGAGTGTGGAGATGCAGATGAGGTAGAGCCGGCCCTCCAGCCACTGTCGGGTACCATGGTGCTAGTCTCGGCTTGGCCCGCCTGTCTGCCCTGCTGAGCCTTCTCGTGATGTAGGGGGAAAGGGGAGGTGGGCCCCGGGATTCTACAGGCGCTGGAAGTTGTGGGTGCTGGACATCGCCCTTGGTGGCTTTGGGGTCACTTGAAAGCCCGCTGCCTTCTTTTTCTGGGTACTGACTGAGCTGTCATGGGCCCGAGGCCTGTGCCCATGCTAGCTGGTTGTCCCTCAGTCCACCCAGTGGGGAGGCTGAGCTGGTGTGGCCAGGGCGTGGCTGGGGCGTGGATTCACCCTCTAGGGTCACCTGCTTGGTACTCAGGGCACTGCTCCTTTGCTGTGGCTTCCAGAGCATACGAAGTGGAGAGGAGGTTGAAACTGGGCAGCCTGACTCAGTTTCCCAACTTTGAAACTGCCTGCTGGTACATGGGGAAGCACCTACTCGAGGCATTCAAAGGTACGGTCACTCCAGAGTGAGTGTCTGAGCCTGTGGCTCTTGGCTGTGGGGTGTCCAGACCTGGGTTAGGGCTCATTGTCTGGATGTGAGTGCTGCCTTCTTGTGGACTGAGCAAATCCCCTCAGGACTCAGCCTCCTGGGTCTCAGTTTTCCCATCTGTACAATGCAGGACTAGATTTAACAGGCTGGGCTTTTCCTGCCAGGAGGGCTGTGCCATCTTTTAGGAACAGTGCTGGGCTGAGGTTAAGAGGGACAAGTGTGCTGTGACTTTGGTGGCTGTGACCTCAGTGCAGGCTTAATAGTGCCTGCTCCACACTTCACACAGACTTCCGTTGTGAGGTGGAGGGCCCCTCCTCTGTAACTAGCTGAGGGTGGGTATGAGTAGGTGCCAGGTCCCCTTGGGGTCCCTCAGGGACGTGGTGGCTGGACCATGAGGCAGGCTAGTAGTTCAGTCCTGGCCCTCCATGGGTACTCTCTAACGTCCCTGGGCCACAACCTCTGTCCAAGGCCTTTCCTGGTCACACCCTCAGAGGTGACAGAGGTGGCCTTGGGACCACCACCCCTGTTTAGGTCTCCAGACTCATGCAGCAGCATGAGGGCACTGAAGTACTGGCATGTGCGACTTCTGCTTTAGGGCTACCCTCGCTAGAAGGTGCTCTTTTTGGTTCTGATGACAGTCACAAGCTGAGATGGTTTGATCCAGAACACTTGGCACTTCAGCTGAGTGTGAGAAGCTAAAAATGGCACTTAGGCTCGGCCGACCAGGCTTCAGTGGAGTCTTTCCACTGCTCCCCAGACTCAGGGCCATGAGTATGACTCTGGCAGAGGGGCATGCTCAGGCGGGGAGGCAGGGTGGGGCAGCGCGGGAAGCCCACAGGGGCTGCCTGACTGCTAGGCCACCCTGGCCAGGTCCTCTGACCTATCTGTGCCTGGGCCCTTGGACAGTTCAGTGCCCACAGCCCAGGGACCTGGGCCCTCCAAGCAGGGTGGTGGGGTATGCATTTTCTTTTGGGGTGACCCCAGTGGGAACCCACCACCCAGCCAGGCCATGGCTGCTCCTTCCCCAGTGCTGAGGGGCCACATGAGGTGGAAATGAGGCAGGGTCTAGCGTGCTCGATGTGGGGTATTGGGACATCACGTGCCTGGCTCCTGGTGTGACTGTGGCCCCTTGCTCAGGCAGGGCTGGGGCACTGGATAGAGAGGGAAGAGCCGGGCATCTGGGTTCAGGGCCTGGCAGTGAATGGTGGAGGATGGCAGGATGGACCTTCCCACTCAAGGCTGGCTGCCAGGAGGATGAGCATCCTGGGTTCCAAGAGGGACCGTTGGCAGTTGGGCAAGTGGCTGTGGACAGAGGCCTCTGGAGGGCTGGGCTCTGCACATTCCCCAGGCCAGCTGCATGGGTGGGTGTACAGTCACCTGTGGTCCATGGACTGGGTGCCCCTACCTTACTTACTGTCTCCCCGCCAGGCGCTCACAAATCCGGGAAACAACTGCCTCCTCATCTCGTCCAAGGAGCTAAAATTCTCAATGGTGCTTTTAGATCATGGACGAAGAAGCAGGTAGGAGTCAGGTCACAAGTGTCCTAGGACCAGGGAGCAGGTGATGGGCGGGAAGATCCTCTGGAGACCTGGGAATGATGTTCAGGGTTCTACCTGCCTCAGTGAACCCAGACACTTGCATGGGCCATGCCCCACTCCCCATAGACAGGGCCATCTGTGGAGCAGGGGTAGCAGATGAGACTGAGAGCCCCCAGCTTCAGGGGTTACGGGCAGCATGGTGGTGGTGGTGGGAGGTGGGTGAGAGGGCATCAGCCTGCCCTGGGAGGAAGACCCATCTGAGGGCAGGGGATAGATGGACTGTGGCGGGGCTGCCACTGTGTGGGCACAGAAAGGCCCAGAACCCAGCAGGGCAGGGAGGGACCTGGGGGCTCCACTGGCCTGATTACCAGATATCCGGTTCTGGACAGGCCCCCTCTTGGATCCTTCCAGGAGCCCCAGTGTCAGCTCAGAGCCTAGCTGCCTGGCACTGCCCCTAGCCACTTGCTCTGTGACATGGGCAGCCCTTCCCTGCGCCCACAGCCCCATGACACTATTGTAAGAGCTCCCTTGGGCACGAGGAAGCTGCTTTTCCAGTGGAGAACCCAGGCGGCCAGCTTCCTGCTTCTCTCAGCATCTTGCTTGGAGTTTGGCCACAGAAGGGACAGGAGTGTCCTGCTTAGCCTGGGTGCCCTTGGGGATCATGTTTTCTGCCTGGGGCTCTCCCTGTGCAGTGCCACTGTGCCTGCCCCCAGCCTGAGGAAGGAGGACTCCCTCCCAAGTCAGAGAAAGTCGGTGTAGTTTGTAGGGGCCTTCAGGAGGAAAGGCTGGCAGAGAACACCACGTGCAACCCACCTCTCTCATGGGTGTCAGGTGGGAAAGGCAGTCAGTGCTCTCCCAGGGCCACCCTTCAGCCACCATCTCCCCAGGCCTCAAGGCCAGGGACAATTTAGGGCCTCTCTCTACCTCACCTGAGCTGCATGGCCAGGTGGAGTGGCCTCATGACCAGGAAGAAGGGATGGAGCTCAAGTCCGTGCCATAGCCTGCTGGTGGTGACCTCAGCAAGCTCATCCCCTCTGGGGCTCGGTTTGTCCACCTGTAGGTGGGGACCAGAGTAGAGACTTCTCGCTGGACCAGAGTCTGGCTGGAGATGTGGGTCCAAGTGTCCCAGGACCTCATGCAGCCAGGCTACATGCTAAGGCAGACCTTTACCCCATGCCTGTCTGGGTGGCTGGGGGTCCTGACTGGGCAGGTCGGGGACGTCCTGGAGATGCAGGAGGTGCAGGAGCCACAGGGTCCAAGCAGGTGCTTACATGGATCTGGCTGTCCACAGGCCTTGGCAGAGCATGAGGACGAGCTCCCAGAGCACTTCAAGCCTTCGCAGCTCATCAAAGACCTGGCCAGAGAGATCCGGCTCAGCGAGGTAGGCTGTGATGGGTGCCGGCTGGATGAGGGAGGCCTGCCTGTGCTTCTCAGGACCTGGGGGCCAGCCTGGCCAGAGCTACTGATGTGGGAAGGCCCATGTCCCTGATGGCCCTCCTGTACTCTCCTGGGTAGGCTTGTCTACGTGAGGCACAGAGTCCTAGGTCTCTGGGTGGGCTGCAGTATTCTCGTGTGAGTGTGTTGGGAATGAGAGATGGCACGGACCTCTGCAGCTCCCACAGAGGGGGGCATTCTGGGGGAGGAGCCCCCTCGACCTAGCCCTTTGGATCCCAGCTCATGTGAACCCGGAGGAGCCCCCCAGTCCCTGTGCTCAGGATAGGACAGAGGAACCCTAGGGACATAAGGGATCAAGTGGCTAATGGTATGGACAGGTGTGAGTGACTGGCTGTAGGTGTGTCACATAATGGTAGGGGGTAGGTGTGAGCATGTTATATGATGGTGGGGGCGCAGGTGTGAGTGTGTCACACAATTGTGTAGGGAGGTGTAAACATGTCACACAATGGTGTGAGTGGGTGTGAGTGTATCACTCGGTGGGGGCAGGTGTGAGTGTAAGCCTGCCACACAGCAGTGTGAGTGGGTGTGTCGCATGATGAGGGTGGTCGTGAGCATGTCACATGATGATGGGGCAGGTGTGTGTCACATGATAGTGTGGGCAGGTATGAGCATGCCACACAATGGTGGGAGTAGGTGTGAACATGTCATATGATGGTGTGAGTGGGTGTGAACATGTTACTTGATGGGAGGAGTGGGTGTGAGTAGGTGTGTCACATGGGGGTGGGTGTGAACATGTCACCTGATAGTGGGAGCAGAGGTGAGTGGGTGTGATCCTGTCACACAATGGTGGGGGCTGGTGTGAGCATGTCACTCAATGGTGGGAGCAGATATGAGTGGGTGTGAGTGTAGCACACAATGGTGGGGATAGATGTGAGCCTGTTACATGATACGGGTGGGTGTGAGCATGTCAATGGTAGGAGTGGGTGTGAGTGGGTGTGAGCATGGCACACAATGATGGAGGTCGGTGTGAGTGTATCACACAGTGGTATGGCCAGGTATAAACATGTCACATGATGGGGATCTGAGAGTGTCATGATGGTGGAGGTGGGTGTGAGTCTATTACATGATGGTGATGGTGGGGGTCGGTGAGGGCATGTCACTTGATGGTAGGGGCAGGTGTGTGTGGGTGTGAACATGGCACATGATGGTGTGGGCCTGTGGGAGGGCTGAGCCCCTCTGGATATCCAGAGTCCTGGCGTGTGGACTCTCTGGGCCCCAGCTTGGCAGCAGTGGCATGTGACCTTCTCCTCTCCGTACCCAGAATGCCTCCAAAGCCATCCGACCGGAAGTGAATGCCATCGCCTCCTCAGAGGAAGTCTGTGACGGGGACCGGGAGAAGGAGGAACCCCCCTCTCCCATTGAGGCCACTCTGCCACGATCCCTCCTGGAGAAAGTGTCCAAAAAAAAGACTCCCAAAACTGTGAAGTTGCCCAAGCCGTCCAAAATCCCCAAGCCCCCAAAGCCTCCCAAGTCCCCAAAGCCCCCCAAAGCCCTGAAGCTCAAGGATGGGGGCAAGAAGAAAGGGAAGAAGCCCCGGGAGTCAGCCTCACCCACCATCCCTAACCTGGACCTGCTGGAGGCCCACACCAAGGAGGCGCTGACCAAGATGGAGCCTCCCAAGAAGGGCAAGGTGGGCTCCTCCTTCCACTCTTGGCCTCACATCTCACCTGGGCCTCACATCTCACTTGTCCTCATTCTTTGGGCTCCTGGCTGGATGGGGAGGTAGGGACATCACAGGCAGCCCTCTGCAGTGTCCAGCAGGACGAGGCCACTGGGAGGGTATAGGGTCTGGGCCTTACAGGGAGTCCAGTCT